TCAGAAGAGTTGTACTGAGTGGAGAAAGCTTTTCGTGCCATGAGGAGCCTTGCCCTTCTGGCCACTCTTCCTCATCTCTGTCTTGCAAGTTGGCTAGGAGGTGGACTTCTATCAGGTGGACTTCTATCAGGAGATGAGGTAAAGTGCCAGGCTTCAGCGTCAAGAAGACTATGTATCACCAAAACCAGTTTGGCTCAGTGGATAGAGCGTCGGCCTGCGGACGGAAGGGTCCCAGGTTCGATTCCGGTCAAGGGCATGTACATTGGTTGCGGGCACATCCCCGGTAGGGGGTGTGCAGGAAGCAGCTGGTTGATGTTTCTCTCTCATCGATGTGTCTAGCTTTCTATCCCTCTCCCTTCCTTCCTCTCTGTGAAAAATCAATAAAATATATTAAAAAAAAGAAAGAAAGAAAAAAGAAGACCGGTTTGGCTTGGTGGATAGTGCATTGGCCTGAGTACTGAAGGGTCCCAGGTTCGATTCCACTGGTTGTGGGCACATCCCGTAGAAGGTGTGCAGGAGGCAGCTGATCAATGTTCCTCTCTCATCGATGTTTCTACCTCTCTATCCCTCTCGCTTCCTCTCTGTAAAAAAAAAAAAAAAAAAAAAAAATCAATACATTTTTAAAAATTAAAGAAGACCTATGTATCAATGTTAGTTGCATGACTTGGACAAGTAGCTTACCTTTTCTGAGCCTCCGTTGCCTCTCCTGTACAGTGGGTTGCTGTTTAACAGAGTTGTGAGTTTTACATGAATCGTTTTGAATGAAACATTGAGCATACTGCCCGGCATCCTCAGAGCACCCCCATGTTATACAACATCAAGCTCTCTGGAGTGTCGGAGGGCATAGAAATGTACCTGGGGATGGTTTCATAGGAGAGTTCAGGAATGACGAAGGGTAACAGCCATCCTGCGTCTGACATTTGGTTCTGACAGAAACCGTGCGTCAGCCTCCATGCTGAGGGAGCAGCAGTGTTCTCAGCGCTGCTGGGCGTGTGCTATGGTCACTTGGCCATGGTCCTCTTCAGTCACACTGAATGTTGTTCTTGTAAATCTGGCCCGGGTTCTTTTCGGAAAAACAGCCTCCACAATGTGATGTCATGGCCCAGCCTGGCTCAGGGAAGGAGGAGGAGTGTGTTGTGTGCAGGATCTTATTTCTGGAGGGCTCAATCTGATCTCAGAAGAAACTCTGTTCTCCTCCCTTCCTTTCAGGACCCAATATGGAATCGATACTCTGATTTTGAATGAGAAGGAAGGAATAAAATCATGGTTAAGACATGACTTTTTACAGAGAGGAAGGGAGAGGGAGAGAGAGTTAGAAACATCGAAGAGAGAGAAACATCCATCAGCTGCCTCCTGCACACCCCTTATTGGGGATGTGCCCACAATCAAGGTACATGCTCTTGACCGGAATCAAAGCCGGAACCCTTGAGTCCACAGACCGACGCTCTATCCACTGAGCCAAACCGGTTAGGACTATGCTTTTTTAAAATTTATTTATTTATTTATTTATTTTTTTATAATATTCTTTTTTTTTTTAAATATATTTTATTGATTTTTGTACAGAGAGGAAGGGAGAGAGACAGAGAGTTAGAAACAATCGATGAGAGAGAGTCATCGATCAGTTGCCTCTTGCACACCCCCTACCGGGGATATGCCCGCAACCAAGGTACATGCCCTTGGCCGGAATCGAACCCGGGTCCCTTCAGTCCCCAAGCCGACGCTCTATCCATTGAGCTAAACCGGTCCCGGCTTAAAATTTATTTTTAAGTGCAAAATATATGGGAAAGTGAGTGATACAGGAATGGGGTTATAAAGTTTTCTGTGTTTAAACATTTTGTAACAGAGACTGAGCTGCAGACAGAATAGGAAACTCTGGCTTCAGTGTGCTGTTGTTTTTCCAGTATCACTGGTACCTAAACAACAGGGAGACTGGGTCTCTGTCCTAAAGCAGTTTGACCTTACCGGCAACATACCATCTGCTCAGCCCATCCTGCTGGGTTCTCCCCAGGCAACAAATACTCTCCACACTGAATCATGTCAAGAAACATTTCAAGCCATAACTGGTTTGGCTCAGTGGATAGAGCGTCAGCCTGTGGACTCAAGGGTCCCAGGTTCAATTCCAGTCTAGGGCATGTAACTTGGTTGTGGGCACATCCCTAGTGGGGGGTGTGCAGGAGGCAGCTGATAGATGCTTCTCTCTCATCGATGTTTCTAACTAACCCTCTCCCTTCCTCTCTATTAAAAAAAAAATCAATTATATATATAGAGATAGATTTATTTTTTATTTTTTATTTTTTTTTAAAGAAAAGAGAAACATTTCAAGGTGCTGATGACCCAGAAACCCAGTCCTGTCCTTTGAGGGTCCCTGGAATTTGATGTCTCTCCTGTCTGTGAGCCTTGAAGCCTTCTTAGCCACCAGATTCTTTGGAACTTGGTGTCATCATTGCCTTTGGTAAAGCTTGTTTGAGGTGATCATGACAGCTTGAATATTCTTTTCATATTTTGACTCACTGTCAGGTTACTTAAAAGATTTGAAAGAAAAAATTGTATTTTGCAACAAGTGTACACTTATGTATTACTTGCAATTAAAAGTCTATTTTTATAGCAAAAATGATACATTTTGAAGCAGAAACGGGCTTAGAAAAGAAAGGTAAGGGATTCTAGGGATGGAACATGGGACTCCCCATGAAAGAACCTGATCTTGATGAAACTCTTCTCTGTCCCTTTGCTGCAGAACATGGGACTGTCTCCTATGGCAACTTGGAAGATGAAGGCGAGCTCTCCAGTCTTCGTTCAGCCCCAAAGGGACTTCACGGCTGACCCCAAGCTACCAGGATGCTCCCAGGGGTCAATGCAAACATCCAAACAGCTAACTGGTAAGAAGTGGGAAAAGGAAAATCAGGAGAAAAACATCCCCAGAGTCTGCAACGGAAGGGTTTGGACTTCCACATTGGGGAATGACGGCTACAAGTTCTCCTTTGGAGGTCTCCAATCCTTGACGCAAGCTTAACCCCAACTCTAGGCTGAAAATCACACTTTCCGCCAAGTCACCTGTGTATCCCCTTTGGATTCTAAGGTCAGTTTTGTATTTGAAAATGTTGAGCTCCAACCACATGAAATGGCCTTCCCAAGGTTACACAGCGAGACAGAGGCCCTCAGAATCCTAACCAATGCTCGTTTGTTTTTATCCATTATACCATGCTGCCCTATTAAAAACCCAACATTTACTTTTGACAAGTTTAATCTTGACCCCAACTCCAGTTCTAACCACAGTGGGCTCAGGTGCTTCTGACCCCAGCCCAGTGGAAATGGCTGTTTTGCTTTCTGCCCCTCCTTGCTCCCTCATTCCATCATATCACTCAGAATTTCCGTCTTGACCATGTTTTCTTTCTTTCTTTTTAAAAATATATATTTTATTGATTTTTTACAGAGAGGAAGGGAGAGCAATAGAGAGCCAGAAACGTCCATGAGAGAGAAACATCGACCTACCCTCAACCGGAATCGAACCCGGGACCTTTCAGTCCGCGCAGACCTACGCTCTACCACTGAGCCAAACCAGTTCCGGCTCTTCTTTCTTTCTTAAGGGCAATCACAGGTGGGAGGGAAGAAATGGATTCTGTCTCTGGCCAGAAGTGGCTCTGAGGTACCCGGCTCTTTTTTCTGCACCTTGCAGAGGATGACCCGCCTCAGGAGGGCTTTGGGGTGTATGCCTAGTAGGCCGCCTCCCCTCTCTGAACGTCTTTCTGAAGCAACCTCTTGACCCCTAGCCCTGGAGGAGGGCCACAGGTTATCAGTGGCCATGACTCAAGAGCCTGTGACCCTGAGAGGAAGATTTGGAAGACACATCATGAAAGATAATCTGTGTTAGGCAGGGATGAGTAAATTTGGACAATAGCAGCAGCTGAGTCCAAGGGTCAGCGTCTGGGAGTAATTTAGGAAAGTTCAGTGCTGACAGCTGTGTCTGGAGGGGAACTTCGTAGCCGAGTCAGCTCCTGGGCTCCTCCACTGCTTCAGGCAAACGGAGCTCTGGCTCCGGACACGGGATCAGGGCCCCTGGGGGCCCCGAATCGCCATGCTACTTGCCAGCAGCGTGACCTTAGGCAAGTCCTGGGGAAAGGAAACCAGTGTCTACGCAATGCCCTTTCCCAGATGTCACGCTCACTGCGGCGTAGTGAAGAGGGTAATTTCACTAGGAATCTGTGAAGGTAACTGAAATCATTCCAGGGGAGTGGAGCGACAGAAAGGGGACTCAGGGCTTCTGAACGCCAAGTTCGGGGCTCTTTCCCCTCCAGGTCCCCATCTCACGAATGCAGCCCCACATCGCAGGTTCTAAACCCCTCCCCTCTCACAGCCTGGGTCCTGAAGGGTTGTGGCCCCCATCTGTCTGGCTGCACAGTCATCTCACTCGTGCCCCTCTCCCCAGTCCTGTTTGTGGGTCCCTCGAAGGGAGGGTACTGCGACGCTGGTTTTCCCCTCCATCTCTGTTCCCATCCTCCTACCGGCGACTCCGGAGGGCCGGCCGTCTCCTCCCCGGTCTTGGCCGGCGGGCTGACATCAATGGGGATTCCAAGGGGAACTGGAAATCCAGCCCAGTTCCAGGCGCGCCTTCCCCCGGCGGCCAGGACAACCCTAACCCGCCGGCATGAGCCGAGTTCCCAGACCCCTCCCTCTCCTCCGGGTCCCCGCGGGCAGCTGCTCCCCACCCCGCCTGGACCTTTGACCCCCCCCCCCCCCAAGAGATGGGACACCCAGGGTCCCGGGGCGGATGCTGGGAGACCCTGGCGAGTCCTGGGCGCCCCGCGGCCGAGGCAGGAACGGAACGGGGGTCCCGGGTGCCAGGGGAGCTGTCCAGCCCCGCGGGGCGCGCTGGAAGGGAGGGTGGGCCGCCGCCGGCGGGCGGGGGCCGGGGGAGCGGCGGGCGCCGGGCCGGGAGAGGCTGCGGCTCCCGCTCCAGCCGCCGGCCCGGCGTCGCCCCCGCCCCCCACGTGGCCGCTGTCCTGCCCCTGCGGGAAGCGGCGCGGCTTCCTGCGGCGGCGGGGCCGGGGATATAGGCGCCCCCGCCCGCCCGCCCGCCCAGCGCCGCCGCCCCTCCAAGCCTGCGCGCCGCGCCATGGCCTCGCTCCGGGCGGACAGGGCGGCCGGCGGCCCGCGGACCCCGGCGCCCCGCGCGGGGCGACCCTCAGCCCTCAGCCTCCTCCTGCTGCTGCTGGGCGGTGAGCGCCGCCGGGCGGGGGTGCGGGAGGCCCGGGAGGGGAGCGGAGGGAGGGGAGGGGGCTGGACGGCCCCCGAGGCTGTGGGTGCGGGCAGCGCCGTCCTCGGGCTCGTCCCTCGCCCCTCCTAGGTTAGGGCGCCGTGCGAGCGGCTTCCCCGCTGGAGGACACGGGGGCGGGGGCCCGGCGGAGAGGTCGTGGGAGGTCTGGGGTGGCGGGAAGGGGAGGGAAGGGAAGGAAGGCGTTCGGGATCTGGATGCTGGCGGGAAGGCGCTGGTCCTCGCCCCTCTCTCCTGGGCACGGAGGCACCCCGGGGTGCACCATGCCTCCTGCTCCTCTGAGATGAGCTCCCACTTCCCAGGGCCTTAGCCTCCAGCGCACACCCGCCCCCTCCCCTTCCCCACGCTCCACCGCCCAGACCCAACGAGCCCACCTCCTGCCCCCCATTTCTGCCCGCAGCCGCCCTGCAGCCCCAGGAGTGCGCGGCTCAGCTCCTCACCACCCCGGGCAGCTTGGAGTCTGCAGGTGAGTGGCCAGCGGCTGTGGGAGGAGCCCTGGGCCAGAGGAGAGAGGAAAGTCAGTGGGGGAGGGGGGGTGCTGGCCCACAAGGCAGGCCCCCAAGCTGGCCCCCTCACAGGGGTGAGAGGGGGGTGAGCAGACCCCAGGAAAGGGGTTTGCGGAAACACGTCCCAGTCCTGGAAGGGCTGTGCCCTGGAAGGCACTGCCATTCTCCCTCAGCCAGAAGCATCTTATTGGGGACACTTCCGGGCAGCCCCTCTGTCTGAAGACAGGGGCAGGGCCTCTGGAATGGAAGTGCCCGCACCAGAGGGCCTGGAGGGCAGGGCGGGGTGTGGTCAATGTGCAGTCTTAGTGCCCACAGGGAGAATGGTGACATATACCTATGACGAGAGCATCTCATCCTGCTGGGAAGACTATCAGCGCACCATGGACCCCATCAAAGAAGACTGGTGCGACTGGGCCGTCATTAGCAGGTAGGGGCCGCGCCCGAGGGTGGTTTGGGCCGGGGGTGGGGTCTGCCCCCTGTGGGTGGGCCTTGAGAAAATGTCCCTCCTCTGTGGGCCCAGTCCCTCCTCTGTGGGCCCAGTCCCTCCTCACGCTGGTCCTCTCCTGCCCCCAGCCCTTACAGCGACCTGCAGGAATGCTTGGAAAGGGGAGCAGAGGACTTTGACCTGGGCTTCCCCAACCCCTGGGCGGAGCAGCTCATCTTCAAGACTCACCAGACCCACTTTGCCAACTGCACCCCGGATCAGACCACCTTCTCGGACCCCCCTGAGGACGTACTCCTGGCCATGATCATAACCCCCATCTGCCTCATCCCCTTCCTGGTCACGCTGGTGGTGTGGAAGAGCAAAGACAGCGAAGCCCGGACCTAAGGTGGAATGAGTTTCTCAGCAGCCCCCCTCCTCCCCTCCCTTCCCTGCCCCTGCCAGGCCCCGCTCCCTGTCTCCCTGCCCCCTGCTGCCCCCTCACTGCACACGGAGCCCGAGGTGGGTGGAACGGAGCTGGGTGGGGCCATGGCACAAGTTCTGTAATTTTCAGAATAAAAGGTTTCTTTTGTACACTGTCCTCCTCCTCCCTGTCCCACCGGGGCCTGTGTCCTTCCCAGAACCTGTCATCCCCACAGGCCCCAGCTCTGGGCACCAGAATCTCATAGCCCCACTGTTTTGTTTACTTACCTGCCCCCACAGTCCTGCGCCGGCACCCCCCTCCCCACCACCACCTGAAGGCTACACCCCTACATTCCTCCCTCCCAAGGTGCGGGCCTTTCCTGCCCCTATTCAAGCCCAGCTCCAGGAAACGTGCAGGAAAAGACTCCCTTCCGGTCTGGACAGCCGCTGGGGAGGTGTGGGGGGAGGGGCGAGAGAGGACTCTGGGCTGTGACTCCTACAAGAAGGAAGGGGGGGCCACCCAGGAGTTCTGAGTTTTCCGCTTTCATGTTTCAGTTCACTTCTAGAGGCTTCGAACGGGAACTCTGATCTGACCTAACTGGAGTCCACCCCTAAGGACCTCAGCCAGGGCTGAGGGTAAAGCGTGGGGGATCCCTCTGCTCCGTTCACCACAGGACTCCCCCCGCCAGGTCCCTGGCCCTCATCCTACATTGTCCTGGACCCCGGGGGTGTGGCCTACAGCCTGGCTGCACACTGCCCCCTGGTGTCCATTAAGAGCAGAAGATGGATGTGTGGCTGAAGAAGCTCAAAACAAGAGAGTGGACCCTGAGGTCAGAGACCTGTCATCTCCATAGCAAAGACTAGTTTTGTTTTTGCTTTTGCTTTTTAAATAAAATTTATTGATTTTTCACGGTGAGGAAGAGAGAGGGACAGAGAGCTAGAAATATGGATGAGAGAGAATCATTGATCAGCTGCCTCTTGCACACCCCCCACTGGGGATGTGCCTGCAACCAAGGTACATGCCCTTGCCCAGAATCGAACCCGGGACCTTTCAGCCCACAGGCCGAAGCTCTATCCACTGAGCCAAACCGGTTCCGGCTGCAAAGACTAGTTCTGTCTGCTTCTGAACCATACTTGGGCTCCCGTAAGACACTTTCCCACTGTCGACATAAGAAATGTCCAGACCTGTGGAGAATTGTTAAGAGTTTCTTTGAGGGGTGGTGGGGCTGGGTGGAGGTGGGCAAGAGGGGAGAAATGGGGGACATCTGTAATAGTGTGAACAATAAAAATAAAGTTTAGGCCTGGCTGGTTTGGCTCAGTGGATAGAGCATTAGTCTGCAGACTGAAGGGTTCTGGGTTCTATTCCAGTCAAGGGTACATACCTGAGTTGCGGGCTCAATCCCCGGTGGGGGGTCGGGGGGGCCGTGCGTGGTCAGCCGATGGATGATTCACATCATTAATGTTTCTCTTCCTCTCTCTTCCTTTCTAAAACTGATAGAAATATATGGGAGGGGGGAAGATAAAATAAAAAATGTATCAAAAATAAAAATGAAGTTTAATCAAGTTTATTTGAGCCAAAACTGATGGCATATACCAGCAGCAAGCTCTCAAATGCTCTGAAGAATAACAGTTTTGCAGTTTCTTTCATGCATTTTAAATTCAGGAAGGGACTTAGGGAGATTATGTGAAGGTGGGAGAAATCAAGGTGAGGGCGATTACATCTTAAAAGGAGGGGTTTGAGAGGAGGCATTTTCAAAGGTGTGCTGACCTGGATGCACAAAAACAATGGGCTTGGCTTGCTTAGGCTAGAAATTTATATGCTCAGGGTGTGACTACTCACCATGACCTGCCCAGTTAGGTATTTGGGATTTATCACAGCATCCCTTTTTTATCCACACCACTTTCTGGGGACATATTTAGTCTCTGACTCACCATTTTGGCCTATGGACACTCTTGTAGGTCCCCTGGACAGCGAGGCTGTTCTCACCAGGGAACCTTCACCTCCAATTTTCCTTGAAACAAACCTGCCAGGTCTTCAAAAATACCTAGAGAACAACTTTGCGCTCCATAAAGACACCTGTTTATTCCTTGTGGCACCTAAAGCCTCTTCAGGAAATATCTGCCTCCCTGAGAATATATACATCTGTTTCCTAGACATGCCTGTCTAATCCATAGACACATAGTTGTGTGCCTCTGGAATGTATCTATTCATTCTCTGAGACACAGTTCTCCTCTCATGTTGTATTTGTCTCTCTAGAGACACACCTGTTCCCTTGGACATTTTGAGTTTTCACTTGAGATAAATCTTTCTGTTTCCGTGAATGTATCTTCTCCAAGGATATATCTATGCTTTTCTTGGCCTATATTTGCCTTCATGCATTTTGCTAACATACATCAAAGGCATGCTGGTGTAAGACACTGTATGGTATATTGTGTTGAAAAAGAAAGTTAGCTGCCCTAACCGATTTGGCTCAGTAGATACAACGTCGGCCTGCGGTCTGAAGGGTTCCAGGTTTGATTTCAGTCAAGGGCATGTATGTTGGTTGTGGGCACATCCCCAGTAGGGGGTGTGCAGGAGGCAGCTGATGGATGTTTCTCTCTCTCATTAGTGTGTTTAACTCTCCCTCTTCCTTCCTCTCTGGAAAAAATAAATTTTTTTTAAATAAGGAAAAAGGAAGTTAGCTAAGACTTGGTTTCTGCCCTCAGTGGCTTTTATCTAGTAGGGGAGTGGACATGTGCAAATAAACAAAAACAATGGAGTGTGTGATGAGAGTCATGCAAAGGATACAAGCCAAATGTTTGTATGAGTGCAAAGGAAGGAAAGGTCACATCTAACAGAGGTGTGATCACAGGAGTTAAGATCACAGGAAGGTGACTGTAGAGTTGTTACAAGAATTAACGGAAGGTGGAGTGCATTCCCCTAGCCTGTTAACCGAGCGGGACGTATAAATACGTCAAACGTAAACAATATCGGGAACGGGTAGGACGTATGAATATGTCCTGGAAATATATGTTGCGTTCTGAGAGGGATGTTATATATTTTTTGTAATCTTTATAATTGTTTGTAAAATTTATAATTTTTTAATTCGATGTTTCCATTTTTTTGTTGGTATTCTTTTCATTTTTTTGGTGATTTTGTATTTTCCTTTGTGCTTTATATATAAATAAAGATATATATATATATATATATATATAAAATTTATTTTAATTAAGTATAAATAAAAAATAATAATAAAATGAAATTACGTCCTCCGGGCGTGACGTACTGACACGTCCTAGTGAAAGAGTATGCGCCCATTACAGGTTGAGTAATTAAAAAGGGAACTCCCCGGTTAACAGGCTAGAGGAGAGAGTAGAAAGGGAGATGAATTAGGAAACTATTGTAATAATTCAGGCTTGAGAAAAATAGGGCACGGACCAAAAGTGTGGTGAATGGGGAAATGGAAAATAATTGAAAAGAAGGAGAGATGATTAAAAACGGGAGGGAATCAACAGGATTTGCATATGAAGACAGAGACTAGAGCTGACTCAGGCTTTGAACCTGAGTTATTTGGACAACGATGGAAGTAAGACTAGAAAAGTGTCATTAACAGGAGGAGGTAGCCTGAGGAAAAGGATATGCAATATGAGGTAATAATGGAACAAGCTGTAATATCCCACAGTGAGTTAGAAATGGGAGTGGTGATGGTGGAGGTAGAAAGAGGGTGGAGCTAGAAACACAGGTTTAGGGGAATTCTGCACAGAAATGTCATATAAAGCCATGAGAGGGATGAGAGTTTTAAGAGAAGGTGTATTGAAAAGAAGACTGAAGTTAGGTTCTTAGGAAACACCCATAATTAAAGAATGAGGGGGGAAAGGAGACAAAGGGAAAGATCAGAGAGACAATAGCAGACCAAGGATAAAGCATTGTCCTGGAAGCAAAGGAGATGGTGCCCTTTGAAAAAACATTTAAAAATATATATATTTTATTGATTTTTTTACAGAGAGGAAGGGAGAGAGATACAGAGTAGAGAGTTAGAAACATTGATAAGAAAGAATCATCAATCAGCTGCCTCTTGCACGCCCCCTACTGGAGATGTGCCTGCAACCAAGATACATGCCCTTGACCGGAATTGAACCCGGGACCTTTCAGTCCCCAGGTTGATGCGATGCTCTATCCACTGAGCCAAACCAGTTTTGGCACTGAGTCAAACCGGTTTCAGCTGAAAAAAATTAATTGTAAAGTTCATTCATTCATTCAACAAATATTTGTTGGGTATTTCTATGAACAAGGAATCGTGCACAAGAAGAATGGATTTGGGTGGGGGAGATGTTAGAGATCAGACAAGAAATTGAGAGAGTGGCAAAGTCAAGGACACTACATCTTTTTAAAAATTTATTTTTATTGACTTTAGAGAGGAAGGGAGAGAGAGAGATAGAGATAGAAATATCAATGATGAGAGAGAATCATTGACTGGCTGCCTCCCACATGCCCCTTAATAGGAATTGAGCCTGAAACTTGGGCATATGCCCTGACTGGGAATTAAACTGTGAGGGCACTTGGGCTGTTTCCAGATGTTGGCTATTGTAAATAACACTGTAATGAACATAAGGGTGCATATATTCTTTCAGACTAGAACACAACATATTTTCAAATAGGGATGACTTCAGCATATTTGTAGACTAGCAGAGAGGAGGCAGGGGAGAGGACATGAGGGAGAGTGATGCATAGAGAAGTCCTGGAGGAAGTTGGAAAGGAGAGCAAGAAGATAAGCCAAAGGATTGACTTCGTAAGGAACAGCAGCACTCTTCCTTTGAGTCCAAAAGGGAGGAGTAACAGGAAAGACATATATATATATATATATATATATATATATATATATATATATATATATATATATATATTAATGATTTCAGAAAGGAAAGCAGAGGGGGAGGGGAGGGGGGAGAAACACATTAATGATTAGAGAGAATCATTGATTGTTGCCTCCTGCATTCCTCCTACTGGGGATTGAGCCCACAACCCAGGCATGTGCCCTTGATCAGAATCGAATCCAGAATCCTTCAGTCAGCAGGCCGGTGCTCCATCCACTGAGTGAAACCAGCTAGGGCAAGGGAAGATTTTTTTGAGAGACAATCAAGTGTGCTCTCAGATAGAGAGGTAAAGATTAATAAGTTCACATTCATGGCTGCAATCTCATAAAATAGAAGGGAAGGATATTCTGCAGAAAGGAGGGAAATGGGGACAGGTGACATGGCTTGATGAGTGTGGACAACGTTGCAGAGTTACTTTGAGTGACAGTGAGTCATTAAAAGACAAGGGGTTGGAAGCATTTGAGAGCTTCTTCCCCACCATATGTTGTCAGCTTGGTTCAAATAAACTCTTGTTGGGGAGGGGGGGGGGAAGACAACTCTGATCAGCGTGGCTCAGTTGGTTAGAGCATCATCCTGTACACCAAAAGGTAGTGGGTTAGGTTCCTGGTCAGGGCACACACCCAGGTTGCAGGTTCAATCCCTGGTTAGGAAGTATACTGATCAATATTTCTCTCTCAAATCAGTGTTTCTCTCTCTCTCTCTCTCTCTCTCTCTCTCTCTCTCTCTCTCTCTCTCTCTCTCTCTCTCCTTCTCTCTAAAATCAATTTAAAGAAATACAAAGGCCACTGGGCTGCACTGAGAGTCCAGTCGTGAGGTTATCACGGAATTTGGGTCTCAGTCAACATATTCTGTTGGTTTTCTTTTTTTTCCTAATAACACTCCCCTGCCAAGAAGTGACACAAAAAGAGGGTGTGGGTGGGCAGGGACCAACAAGCTGGTTTGGAAACTGACCAGCAGGTAGGCAGACAAGGGGACAGAACTGAGTAGTCTAGTCTAGGTAAAGAGTCACGACCAAAAGCGGTCTGGGACGTGAGACTAGGAAGGTGAGAACGGGAGAGAGATCAGCGATGGATGGCTGTGGTCAAGGATGGCAGCTCTGCATCAGGGAAGCAGAGCCGTTTGCAGCTATAAATGCTACAAACGTATTCCCGCGGGTGCTGCCGGAGACTGAAGAATGGTAGAGCCACAGGACATAGGAATCGGAGAGATTGAGAAATGTGAGACGTTTCGTTTAAATGGCATTTGACATAGGTGTTATTGAAAGAAGCCCAGCACGGTGGACACAATCCTAGACTGGGGTCCGGGGACCTGGGGTTCTACTTGCACTTCTGGGAACAAACTATGCCCTTCTCTGGGGTTGGGTCAGGCTTCTCAGGGACCTTTTGCTCTAACCGGTAAGGATTTTTAGGATAATGACAAGGAACTGGCAGAAGAGGAAGAACCCTTCCTAGGCTGTCCCTCTTCCCCAAGAAGGGGCCGGAACCTTTCTGCTGTGCTTTCCGCCAGGACGTGCGGAAGCGGAGACCGGAAGTCCTTTGCCGGGAGCTTCCGGGTTTCCTGGGCTATTACGATGGCGATGAGTTTCGAGTGGCCGTGGCAGTATCGCTTCCCGCCCTTCTTTACGTGAGGCTCAGACCCCGGGAAGCCCCGCGGTGCCTGCCTTCCCTCCCCCGACCCCGGGCCGAGCCCCGATCCTTCCCATGGGGAGGGGGAGAGAGGACTCGGTCGCCGCCACGCTCAGCCTCTCATTTTCTCCCCCAAACGCGCCTCCGGCAAGGGCAGCCTCGCTCCCTCTCCCTCCCTGTAACTCTGCACCCCACCCCCTTCGCCCGGCAGGTTACAGCCGAACGTGGACACTCGGCAGAAGCAGCTGGCCGCTTGGTGCTCGCTGGTCCTGTCCTTCTGCCGCCTGCACAAACAGGCCAGCATGACGGTGATGGAAGCCCAGGAGAGCCCGCTCTTCAACAACGTGAAGCTACAGCGTATCCTCCCTCTGGCTCGTCCACGGCCCCCACACCTGCACGTCCACCCTTTCCCACACTCCCAGACTCCGCACAAACACACACACACCCTTCACCACAGCGGTCAGGTTCCTATCCAGACTGGCCTTGGGAAAGAGCAAGTATATGGAGCAGGCATCCATTTTAAGCCCAAATCCAAATGCAGCAGCAAACCCTCCTGTTCCGGGCAGCGGTGGGTACCCAGCTGCCATACAGGTCCAGAACCTCTGCCCTGAAGCCAAGGAGCCAAGTCCCAGGTCAACCTGAACCCCTTTGACTCTGAATTTCCTGTCCTGGCCATTATGAGGCTCAAATTCAGGTACTACCTTTAGTAATTTTCTCTGCCTACTCTTATTCTCCCAGGAAGTAAGTGTCATTTGTTTTTGCTGCCTGATTCCTGCCTAAACTATCTGTGCAGGAAGGAGAGCGCACAGAGGATGAGGAAACGGTACATTTCATTTTGTAAAGTTCTTCCTGTAAATTGGAATCGTTTGTCTTTATCTTCTTCCCCCCAGTGTCTGAGAAAAGCCCATTTATACCCCATTGGGGAACTGCACATGTAAGTGGGTGGAAGGGAGAGGTAGGGGGCAGGTGGTTCTCAGCATGTGACTGGCTCTTCGAATTTTTATCCCACCCAGTTGATTCCATTAATGCCAATCCCTTAACCTTAAACCAGGGAAGCTCCCCGTGGAATCAATCCAGGTTGTATTAGAGGAACTGAGGAAGAAAGGTGGGTTCAACTCCCCAAATTTCTTATTTTTCTCCTAGTTGGCTTTTCCTGAGGACAGATAAACACAAGACTTTTAATAGCGTTTTTTCTCTCCCCTTGCTTGCAGCCCATAGTTCTCGGTACAGCAGATAGTCTGATTCCCTAGGTCCCTGCCCCCATTGGTGTACAAATGAAAATCTCCTCCTCTGGGCCCTAACACTTAAAGAGACATAGAAGGAGAACGAGTGCCTTGCAGACAGCCGTAGTAAAGCGAATTTGAATTTCTCCTTCCGAAAGCTGAGTCTCTTCTACTCTGTCCTACCTTGGTTTTGCCTCTTTGTCCCTCCTTCGAGCTGATGCTTTCATAAGTATCTGTTTTGCAGGGAACCTGGAGTGGTTGGATAAGAACAAGTCTAGCTTCCTGATCATGTGGCGGAGGCCAGAAGAATGGGGGAAACTCATCTATCAGTGGGTGAGACTATTCTGCTGCAATGACAAATAGATGGCAAGGGAGATTTGTGTCTGTGCTCAGCAGATACCTGGTGTTCCCAGGCTGGTCAAAGTGGAAGGGGGCAGAAGGAAGTGTAGGTCTTCCAGGCAAGATTCTTTCAGGGACTCAATTTCCATGGCTGCACAGAGGTTCCCTTTCTTTGCCTGTTGGATAGCAGAGGCTACATGAGGCCATGTTTGGAGAACGCAGTACGGGGAACCACCAGTACTATTGTTGGCTGGAGCTTCTGGCCACAGAAGATAAATGGGGAAAGGAAGGGGGAAAACACACACATGAGCCCCTCCCCCACTGCACCCTTATGGGGCTGTCCACAATATGAATTCGATGTTCTGAACCAATGTGGGTGTGGGGACAGACTCTGTCTCCAGAATTCCTAGCCACCACCAGCTCTAAACATTCCCAAGAGAGAAAGGAGGGTAAGAAGCATCAACAACCCAAATATAACAAATACATGCCACCCATTCCTGAACAGGAAAACAACCAGAATGAGAGGTCAATCCTCAGACACGTGAAGACCTGTGGTTTAGTGGTCCCCAATGTGTGTGTACACATACAAATATAGCACCTGTATGGTTTGTGGGTTTTAGCCACTTCTCCACAGAGGTGGCAACCCTGGTTTGGGACTGGGTACCATTCCTGGGTCAGAGCGGTGGAGCTGCCAGTTTCCCTTCTCCCAAGAGATTGCTGGTCCTTATTCAATCCCCATTTTTCTGTATCCATAGGTTTCCAGGAGTGGTCAGAACAACTCCGTGTTCACCCTGTACGAACTGACCAATGGGGAAGACACAGAGGAAGAGGGTAATGCCTTTCTCTTCCCCTTGTTTTGCCATCTGAATCCTCTCTCCAGTCCTTACTTAATTGACATTCAGACTTCCCACTTCTCTGCTTCTGAATTTCAAATACTAACTTAACCCATACCCATTATTTTCATAAACCATCTGAATTCACATACAAAAAAACCCAAATTTTGTTTGTGAGGGGTATGTGTATTTTTCTAGGAATAGAGTTCATATCAGATTTTCAAAGAGAATCTGTGACCCATGAAAAGTTAAGAATTAAGGGTGTAGCCGAAACCGGTTTGGCTCAGTGGATAGAGCATCAGCCTGCGGACTGAATGGTCCCAGGTTCAATTCCGGTCAGGGACATTGGGCACATCCCTTGGTTGTGGGCACATCCCCAGTGGGGGGCAGGCAGGAAGCAGCTGATCGATGACTCTCATCGATGTTTCCGACTATCTCTCTTCCTTCCTCTCTGTAAAAAAATCAATAAAATAAAAAAAGAAAAAAAGAATTAAGGGTGTAGACACCAAATGAGGAACCAGGGTAGGAGATTAAGCTTGAAATCTCATTCCTTGCTGACTCAGGCTTTCTTTCACCCTTTATTCTTATTGAGGACTCAAGCTTTGTGGGCATTAGTTGAAGGGATTGGGCCAACACCCTCAGTCCTTTTAAATACTTTGTTTTCCAGCCAGGCAACGATTTGCATAGTGATTGGTTTTTACATCGCTCTTTTATTTCTGCCTTCATATTCTGATCCCCAGGATCACCAAAAACTCCCATCTTAGCTGGGGGGAAAGGGGATGCTTCCCCCTTTCTGCCAGGTCCTGGCTGCCCCAACAGAGTTCATTGCTCTTGGCTCTTTCCCCTGCTCTGCAGGCCTCTGCTTGCTGCTCCCACCATCACCTATGACTTCAGTGCTGCAGCCTTGCCCAGCCCACTGCTCAGGCTGGGCAAAGCGGGAGGCTTTCTCAGACGCAAGTTTTCTGACTTAGGAGCTGGGCCCCCGCAGGGGATGATGTGTGCAGGCCTGTTAGGGCTTGCCTCCTGCCTCTCACATCTCCCTGAAGTATAATGCCGTATCTCCAGACACTCTGCTGGCCCTTGGCTCCCGGTCTTATTCTTTTTATCTAGGAAACGGTATATATCTGTGCAGGACCTCCTGGCCAGATGTATGGCTATCCTTCTTTGTGTGAGGAGAGGTTCTCAGTATGGGCACACATGTGCAAGCAATGAGGGTCAGTCAGTGACAGGGTCTTGACTTCCCTAAGCTTGATTGTCAAGGCCCCTCTGGCCTTGCAAGCAAATGGTGTCACTTCTGTGCATCAAACATATTTGGGGTGTACGTGGGGGTTGAATCTGATAGAAGAATCAAGAATGGAAAAATTAGCATAAATACTCATTTTTTATGCCAACTAAAGCTTGCTTCCACTCCTTACTTTTTTTAAAATTAAAAAAATACTGATTTTAGCCGAAACCAGTTTGGCTTAGCTGTAGAGAATCGGTCTGCGGACTGAAAGGTCCCAGGTTCGATTCCAGTCAAGGGCATGTACGTTGGTTGCGGGCACATCCCCGGTAGGGGGTGTGCAAGAGGCAGCTGGTCGATGTTTCTCTCTCATCAACTTTTCTAGCTCTCTATCTCCCTTCCTCTCTGTAAAAAATCAATAAGATACATATTTTTTTAAAATACTGATTTTAGAGAGAGAAACATTGATTTGTTGCTCCACTTAGTTATGCACTCATTAATTGCTTCCTGTATGTACCCTGACTGGAGATTGGAACCACAACCTTGGCATATCAAGATGACGCTCTAGCCAAAACCGGTTAGGCTCAGGATAGAGCTGTCAGCCTGCGGACTGAAAGGTCCCAGGTTTGATTCCGGTCAAGGGCATGTACCTTGGTTGCGGGCACATCCCCAGTAGGGGGTGTGCAAGAGGCAGCTGATTGATGTTTCTCTCTCATTGATGTTTCTAACTCTATCCCTCTCTCTCTTCCTCTCTGTAAAACGATCAATAAAATATATATTAAAAAAAAAATGATGATGCTCTAACAGAGATACTGGAGATACCGGGCTTGGGCATTCCACCCCTGACTCTTAAGGTGTACCGGGGAAGGATGGGTGGCAGCTGCAGCAGTGTGGATGGCATATGTATATCCTGGTCTTATAAAGTCTCACCTTCCATCTAGACTGCTCTCCTCAGAGGTCTTGAGCCTCAAGGAGCTGACTGCCCTTGACTGCCCCTCTCTCCCTGTCCAGAGTTCCACGGGCTGGATGAGGCAACCTTACTGCGGGCTCTGCAGGCCCTTCAGCAGGAGCACAAAGCAGAGATCATCACTATCAGCGATGGCCGAGGCGTCAAGTTCTTCTAGCAAGACCTGTCTCCCTTTACGCCTTACCTCCTACCCTTCCAGGGCTTTCCAAAGGGGACAGACCCAGTGTTCCCACAGACTGGATCTGTGCCTCCACCAGACTCAAAGGGCTTCAGTCCACTTACCCCATGTGTCTGTCCCTGGGATCGGGTGAGGCTGAGGCAGAGAAGAGATGTGCTTCTCCTTGCCAACCTCCTCTTCTGTCCTAGATTGTCCCTGAGCCGCAGTCTGTAAACCCAGCACTTTACATGTGTTCACATATGTAACAGCACACACACACACACACACACACACATACACACTCATGCCGTACGAGCTCTGTCTTTCCCCACTCCCACCCCTGTAGCTGCTGTTGCCTCCCCTCTCAGGCTGGTGCTGGATCCTTCCTCGGGGATAGTGGAAGCCCTGGCTGCGGGCAGCCTTCCAGGCAATATGAAGATAGGAGGCCCAAGAAGCGGTCTGGCAGTGAGAGGCGGGGCCGGACAGTGATTTCTGATATTAAAAAGCTCAACCACACCGCCTGCTTCTGATTTTACTACGGAAGGGGCATGGGGAGGGCTGTGAAGTGCTAACCCGGGAGCAAATCCCAGCTTGGGAGTGGGGAGAGAAGGCCGATGGCCTTTGTACATGAGAAGATCCTCCGGTGCTGGCGGCTCCAGTGAGCCTGTGGTTTCACATCTCCGGGGTGGGTTGTGTGGGGGAGTGCTGATGGAACAGCTTAGGGACAGACTGCTTTCTGTCTGAACTGGAGTAACGTAATGGCTTCCTTTCCTCACCTCCCCCAAGCAAGTCCTGACTCCCCTGAAGCCCCTCCCTCTGCCCATCTGGTCTGGGTGAGGTAGTTGAGGCCAAGGAGACCTGAGGGGGAGTGAGCCGGACATGGACTTTGGTTTATTGGAAACTCTGGCAAACAGAAGGGGGAGGAAGGAGAGCCCACATAGCAAAAACAGCCACTCTAATCGGGGCCAAGCCGCGGTCAAGGTAGGGAGGTGGAAGGGATGGGTGACCGGGTCCTCGGTTTGGAGGTGGGGCTTGTCCTGAGGTGCACACACCCATCCCTGTGCAGCCCGGAGGGATGGCGGCGTCGGAGAAAACCGGACCTTTCCACTGACCTCTGTATTGTCAGCCCAGTGCTACTCTGGACGGCGAGGAGGGGTGGCGCTACCTTATCTGGGGCGTGCAGGCCTGTGGTAGCCACCCCCCCTTTCCAGGGCCTGGGAGTTGAGGTCACGTTTCCTCTCCCTATCCAGCGTCATGCCCCCCCTCCCCGCCCCAAACAGGTTTGCGCACTCCGAGTGCGGGAGGACACCCCGCGGCCTCGCACTCGGCTCTCAGGAATGAGCTGAAGGCGGGAGCGCGGGGCGGGGAGGGGTCTGGGAGGGAGAGGGGGAGATCGCTCGGGGGGCGGGGCGGAGGCTGGGTGAAGGGCTGTGCACCGCGATCCACACCGCTGGCGGCCCGGAGGGGGCGGCCCTGGGGGGTAGGGGCGGGGCCGGGGGTGGGGCTCCGGTGCGGCCGGCCGGGGGCTCGGGCCCCAGTAGCTCAGCGGAGCGCTGCGCACCCAGCCAGTCCGCCGGGGCGGCCGCCTCTGCTCCGGCCGCCGGCTCCCCGCCCCGCGGCGCCCAGCCCTCCTTCATGCTGGCACCCCCGGCCCCCGAGACCGCGGTGCCCATGTCCCAGGCGGAGGCCGACCTGGCCCTGCGGCCGCCGCCCCCTCTCGCCGCCACCGGGCCGCCCCGCCTCGGGCCCCTGCCTCGCCGGGCGCGTCGCTTCTCCGGGAAAGCCGAGCCCCGGCCGCGCTCTTCCCGTCCCAGCCGCCGGAGCTCCGTCGACCTGGGGCTACTGAGCTCTTGGTCCCAGGCCACCTCGCCCGTTCCGGAGCCTTCCAGTTCCCCGGACTCTGCTGGTCCCGACCCCGCCAGGAACCCGCCGCTTGGCTCCGAGGAGCCCCCCGAGGGCGCGTGGCCTGGGGGAGCCCCGGCGAAGGCTGCGGACTCTGTGCGCCCCGAGCTCACGTGCGCCCCCGGGAGCCCGGGGTCCCGGGAGCCGCCGAGGGCCCCCGAAGCCGGGGCCCAGGACCGGCGGCGGGAGCAGGAGGAGAAGGAGGACACAGAGACCCAGGCTGTGGCAACGTCCCCGGACGGCCGATACCTCAAGTTTGACATTGAGATTGGACGTGGCTCGTTCAAGACGGTGTATCGCGGGCTGGACACCGACACCACGGTGGAGGTGGCCTGGTGTGAGCTGCAGGTGCGGCCAGGTGGCACCTCGGGATGGGACCCTGTGGAGGTTTTGGGTTGGGAGACCCTGGGGACAGCAAAAAGGGAGGGATGTGTTTTTCCAGCCAAATGGCCAGACACCCCTTCTCTCACTGGCTCTGATAACCCATGGATCAGGCTGATTGGGCTGCAGAGAGGAACTGAGGCCGGTGGTGTCAGTGGCTCCCCTGTGGTTTGGGACTTTTTCACTTTAAAGCCCCCATGCTCAGCCCTGAGAGGTGGGGAGTAGGATGGGGAATTGGGTAGAGAGCCAGCTGAGGTATGAGAAGGTGGCTGGCCTCACGACTTTCCCTAAGGGGTCCCTCCCTTCCCCTAAGTCCTGGGACCCTCAGCGTGACCCTGGTCCCTCCTGTTCCCTCTCCCTGCATCTTTATAAGAAGTTGGGATGATGGAGGCCAGAGGGTGGGGCAGGGTCCTCTCCACTTCCAGAAGATTCCAGCTCTTGTGGCAGGATGGGGCCCTCCCAGGCCCCTTCTGGACCTCCCAGTCGGGGTAGGGAGACACAAGGAGCTCCAGCTCTGGCCCAAATCCCGTCTGGTTCCTCATCCCATTGCCTACCTGGGCGCTCCTTTCCAGACCCAAAGGCGCTGAGCTTTAAGTCTGGGCCAGCAGCTTCGGATTTTGGGAACAGAGCCTGGGGGAAGGGTCCTCCCCGGAGCCCTGGCACTGGGTTTGCCCCTTGCTCCTGCCAGTGCCGCGCCCCAGGCTCTAGGCCAGGCTAGTAGAGGCGGCCAAACTGGGGTGGGGTGGGGGTGAAGGAGGGAGATGAGACGGGGGGGGGGGGGGGGGCGGGGGGGGAACAGCCATGGGGTAGGGAGCCGTCTCCTGGAACCTGGTCCTTGATCCTTTAACTGTACTCCTTCCGCAGCCCTCCGACCTCCGGTTTGCTTCTAGCAGTTTGCAGTTTCTGAAGCTAACCCCCTTGCTGGCCCCAATTCCCTGCCCGCCCGTCTGCCCGCCTGCTGCCCGCCTGCTGCCAGCCCCCGGGCACCCCCTCCCGCCCCACGGCCCGCCAGGGCAGCCACAAAGGCGCTATTGAGCTCAGGGTTCCTGGACCGGGCTGCATAAAGTCGCTTGTGTCCAGCAGGGGGTCCAGGGGGGGCGGCCCCAGGCCCGGGATGGGCGTGTCCTTGGAGCAGCTTGAGGGAGTGGACCTGGAATTCGGGGTCTGCAGCCCGTTAGGCCAGCAATTCCACTTCCCACGGATCCCACCGACCCAGCCCTCTTCCACAGCATCAACCCTTCCCCTTCCTCCCCAGCCCCGCCCCCGGGTCCCACCCCACCCCTTCTCCGTGGGGGTCCCGGGCCAGATTTGACCCCCATCTCCTACCCCACAGACTCGGAAACTGTCTCGAGCAGAGCGGCAGCGGTTCTCCGAGGAGGTGGAGATGCTCAAGGGGCTCCAGCACCCCAACATCGTCCGCTTCTATGACTCATGGAAGTCAGTGGTGAGGGGCCAGGTCTGCATCGTGCTGGTCACTGAACTCATGACGTCGGGCACTCTGAAGACGTGAGCTCTGCGGCCTGGTGGCAGTGGTTGGTGGGAGGGCTGGTGGTGGGTGGTCCCACTGCTTCTGGAACGTCTCCCAGGCTCCTCAAGCCTGCACCCAGGCCCAGCACCGGCTCACTGTCTCTCACCCACCCCTCCTTTGTGTCTGCCGTGGTGAATGGCAAGGCCCACTCAGCGCTACAGCCAAAACGTGGGTGCCTCCTCTCTGGTCACGCTGTGCATCCCTTCTCCCATCAGTCTGTCTTCAACGTTTTCCTCCTGTCTCCCATCTCCACTCCTACCTCACTGCCACTTCCCTCACTGGTCTGGAGACCTGCAGTCCCCTCAAAGAGCCGCCCCCCCCCCCCCCCCGCCCCACTTCTCTCCACTCTGTCCCTCTCTTCACCAAGCTACCTTATCTTCCTGCAGTCTGGGGTTATTTCTTCATTGCAAATCTGACCTTATCACTCCATTCTTTTTTTTTCTTCTTTCAATCCATTTTTTTACTGAGAGGAAAAGAGAGGGATAGAGAGTTAGAAACATCGATGAGAGAGAGTCATCGACCAGCTGCCTCCTGCACACCCTCAACTGGGGATGTACCCGCAACCAAGGTACATGCCCTTGACCGGAATCGAACCTGGGACCTTTCAGTCCGCAGGCCGACGGCTCTATCCACTGAGCCAAGCCGGTTTCGGCATCACTCCCATTCTTAAAAACCCTTCAAGGCCTCCCACAGCTCTCAGGAGAAAGCCCACAATTCACAACCTGCTCACTCACAGCCCCATTTTCAGCCTGCATTCCAGACAAACCAAATCCCAGCACCTCCTCCCGCCCTGCTCCGGGGCTGGCTGTCTCCGTGCCTTTGCGCACGGTGTCCCCTCTGCCTGGAAAGTCTCCACCCCTTCCCCTTTTCATCCTTGAACTCCTACTCATCCTTCAGAGGCAGCACAGTTATTTCCTTCTGTGGAAACCCCCCTACCCGGCAGTAGCCGTTAGTCATCCCTTCCGGTGCTTCCTCAGCACCTTGGCCTCGGCCCTATAACCTCATGTCCACTTACCACACCCCCTGGCTCAGTTTCTCCCTGGGTCCCCGTGCAGACAGACCCAGGCTAGCAGGATGCTGGCAGAAGGTGCAGGCAGTGGTGGGGGGAGGGCTCCCCCCCCCCCCACACACAACCCTGGCCACGCGCCCTCCGCCCTCCCCAGATACCTGCGGCGGTTCCGCGAGATGAAGCCCCGCGTCCTTCAGCGCTGGAGCCGCCAGATCCTGCGGGGCCTTCATTTCCTACACTCCCGGGTACCCCCCATCCTGCACCGAGACCTCAAGTGTGACAACGTCTTTATCACCGGCCCTACGGGCTCCGTCAAGATCGGGGACCTGGGCCTGGCCACCCTCAAGCGTGCCTCTTTTGCCAAGAGTGTCATTGGTGAGTCCCCCCAGGACTCCTTGTCATTCCTACCTCCCCCGCGCCAGCAGAGCCTGGGGTCTCCCTTCCCCCCAGCTGGGTCCTTCCAGCTCCACAGAGTAAGAAAACCATGGGGAAAATGGGGAAACCTGTGGCATCAGCTGCCCAGCTGGGGGGCCGGGGGGGGGCTGCCTGGCCTGTGTGCTTGGAGCGACAAAGCCAGAACGTAGGCCCTGCAGCCCAGTGCCTGCTGTGAATCCTACAGGAACCCCGGAGTTCATGGCCCCCGAGATGTACGAGGAAAAGTACGACGAGGCCGTGGACGTGTACGCCTTTGGCATG